GTCTTAAACTTAGCTAAATATGAAGATAACCTATGAAAAGAGCTTGATGCGGAGGATATGACAATTTTGCAGGAGACAAGCTATAAAGAAGCTAGTAGTAAATATACCAAAGAGATTCCTAAGATTAAAGCAAAGCCAATTACACCATGCATCATAATCGATAACAAATATGAAAAAATATGTTGCTGTAATGAAACTAGTAATAAGAGGTTGCAAGAACTCATTGGTGTCTGGAAAATTGACATGGATGCTATTAATGAAGTTAATAGCCAACTTCATCTTCTTGGAGTATGTTCGAAGCACTTTAATTACGATCAAAATATAGTGCATAGTAAAAAGTTAAAAAAAGAACATTTAACTGAAAAAAGTCAGTTTAATTGCTACATTTGTTTTTTTTGCAATAAAAAAATGGCTTTTTTTAGTTGCAGAGCAAGTTGTAAAGAGTATACATGGATTGTATTTAATCAAAAATTACAAGTACCTTGCCATAGAATAGTTCTTTGTCCAGCTATTAAAGAAAGCTTAAATACAGAAAATACAAAAAATTCACGAGGTGTTTATTATGTGTGCTGCTAGTGTTATAAAAAGAATGGAAAGCATTTGCATGTATGTCAAGATTCTGGATGTAGGAAAGATCTGGGATGCACTGCAGAGCATTCTGATAACACAACAACTGCCTTTTATCGCTTTGCAAGGCTAATTGAAATGGTAGCACAATAAGAAAATGATGGAGCTAAAGAATATTTATTTCAAGTTCTTTTTTTATGTTTAAAAAAGCTTGATTTTAATTTGCCACCCATACAAACAAATAGGCTACCTAGCCTATTTGTAGCTAATACAGCTTTAAAAGTTAAAGGGTTAAATTTTTATAAACAAATAAGACAATTCAAAAATGTAAAGAATTTGGAGAATCACTTGCCCTTGATGTTTTAAATTCATGCACCACTTTATCTTTTTATAAATCAACATTAGAAAGCCCGAAGTCTTTACAACAGTATTATGATACAATTTCAAAATGTTTAACTAGTTTCTTTGATAGTTTAGTTTGTACTTTGCAGCTCCAAAAGTATGAAATTGTCAAACAAAAATGAAAAGAGCACAAAAGTGTAATATCTGAATTTAATGAAAACGAAACAGTGAAAAGCACAGCTTTTCTATCTTCTATTATTCTAACGCTTGCATTTAAGAG